CCCCCCCCTTTTTGCCTCCCCCCCCCCCCCCCCCCATCTGGCTGCTCTCTCTCAACGTACAGCAATTATCCTTGTCCTGCCAAGAGCACCGATTGCGTTTTGCAACTCGTTCAAAAAGTAAAGGGGAAAAGAATACAAATACATGGATGGTCTTGCGCCAAGTGCCTCGGGCCTTTTTTTCTCATCAGCGACGCGTGGATCGGCGAGAGCATGACTGGATTTCAAGCTGTCGCACATCTAGCTTTCCGTCTTTCGCTTCCCTCGTCTATCTAACATTCTATACATCTTGGGCCTTTACAGAAGAAGCCCTGTCGAGATGGTCTGCTTGCGACGCCTTGCGCTCGCCGCGGTGCTATCGCTGCCAATCGCAGACGCGGCAGCAGCAGCAACAACAACAAGCGGCATCTCCAAATTGGCAGATCGGCTATTCAATGGCCAGGGAAGCGCGTTTGAGTTTGTCCTCACCACTCGCCACGACGACTGGTCGCGTTGGAATCCGCCCGTCAACGACAACTACACGGTCCAGCGTGCCAGTGGAAAGATCCGTGTCGAGGGAACGACGCTGAATGCGCTGGCCAGGGGGTGAGTGTTTTTGTGTGTGAATTATGTGCATGATTTTGGTGCCGCTTCGCCGTGTCTATCATGGAGGGGTGCCTGATCCGGCTGTTTTGTCTTTCTCTGTCGTGTACGCTAATGCTGACAACCATGTATACAGCCTGCGACACTATGCTAATAGTGTCTTGCAAATGGACGAATTTTGGTTCATTGACACGTACAAGACGGCTCCCGAGCGTCTGCCTGCCCCGAAAGAGCCCTTGTCCGGGGCCAGTGTTGTGCCATGGAGATATAATCTCAACACGGGTGAGTTGCCAAACCTTCTTGCATTTCCAGCAAAAAAAAAAAAAAAAAAGGAAGAAAAGAAAAGAAGAGAAAGAAAGACAAAAATTCAAGGAGACAAAAAGAAACGCTTGCTAACTAAAATAAAGTCACATTCTCATATACTTTTCCCTGGTATCAGTGGGAGGACTGGGAGAAGCTCCTCGACTGGGCGGCCCTGCGCGGCGTCAACCTCCAGCTCGCCTGGGTCGGCTACGAGAAGATCTTCCTCGACAGTTTGCGAGAGCTAGGTCTCTCCGATGAGGACATCTTGCCCTTCTTCAGCGGGCCGGCGTTTCAGGCGTGGAATCGGTTCGGCAACATTCAGCGTTCCTGGGGCGGGAAGGGAGACTTGCCGCTGGCCTTTATCGAGCTGCAGTTTGAGCTGCAAAAGAAGATTGTCGCGCGCATGGTCGAGCTCGGCATCACGCCCGTGCTGCCCGCGTTCCCGGGCTTCGTGCCGGAGAGCATCAAAAAGGTTCGGCCCGACGTGAATCTCACCGTCTCGCCCAACTGGTTCGCCCCGGCCCCTGACAAGTACACGAGGGACCTGTTCCTCGACCCCCTGGACGACACGTACGCGGAGCTGCAGAGGCTCTTCGTCTCCAAGCAAATGGACGCCTTTGGCAACGTCACCAACATTTACACGCTCGACCAGTTCAACGAACTGTCCCCCGCGTCCGGGGACACGGCCTACCTCCGTGGCATCGCACGCAACACCTACGCCGGGCTCACGGCCGCCAACCCTGCCGCCGTGTGGCTTCTCCAGGGATGGCTGTTCTTCTCGAGCCGCCGCTTCTGGACGCAGCCTCGCATCGACGCCTACCTGGGCGGCGTCGAGGACGACCAGGGCATGCTGGTCCTCGACCTGTACTCCGAGGCGAACCCGCAGTGGCAGCGCACAAACAGCTACTCTGGAAAGCCGTGGATTTGGTGCCAACTGCACGACTTTGGGGGAAACATGGCCCTCGAGGGCCGCGTCCAGACGCTGACGTCGGCCCCGATCGACGCGCTCGCGCAGTCAGAGTCCCTCGTGGGGTTTGGCCTGACGCCCGAGGCGTACGAGGGCAACGAGGTCGTCTACGACATCCTCCTGGACCAGGCCTGGTCGGCGACGCCGCTCGACACCCAAACGTACTTTGCGTCGTGGGTGACGAAGCGCTACGCCGGCGTCTCCAGCATCCCCTCGGAGCTGTACCGGGCGTGGGAGATGCTCCGCACCGACGTCTACAGCAACACGCGCACCGACATCCCGCAGGTTCCCGTCGCCACGTACCAGCTCCGGCCGGCGCTGTCCGGCATCGCCAACCGGACCGGCCACTTCCCCCATCCCACGGCCCTGCACTACGACCCCCTCGTCCTCCAGGAGGCGTGGAAGCTTATGCTGGAGGCCATGACGCGGCAGGGCTCGCTGTGGAAGGTGCCCGCGTTCCAACTGGACTTTGTCGACGTCTCGCGGCAGATGCTCAGCAACCAGTTCGACGTGCTCTACGCCGATCTCGTCAACGCATACAAGTGCAGCGCCGCCGGCGGGAGCCGCGAACTGCGCTCCAGCGCGCCAAGCTGCGACGTCGAGGCCGCCGGCGCCAGGCTCCTCTCCCTGCTGTCCACGCTTGACCTCACCCTCCTCACCAGCCGGCATTTTACGCTGCAGAGCTGGGTGGACGCCGCCGGCTCCTGGGGCAAGGCCGCGGGCAACGAGGACCTTTTCACATTCAACGCCCGCAGCCAGGTCACGGTGTGGCAGGTGGACGCGACGAATCTCAACGACTACGCCGCCAAGGCCTGGGGCGGTCTTGTGGGATCCTACTACAAGGGCCGCTGGTCCATCTTTGTCGATGCGCTCGTGGCGGCGAGCAACTCCGGTTCCTTGGACGAGGGTGCCTTGACGCGCGAATTGGAGGCTTTTGAGGCGGAATGGCAGGCTGGCGAGCACGCGGTCGAGCAGTCCAAGCCGCAGGATTTCAGGGCCGTGCTGCCTGGCCTGCAGCGGAGTTGGCCCGAGTTGTTTCTCAAAGTGCAGTAGTTGGTGTGACGATATGATGATTGGGCTATATGAGGTAAATGGCTGTACTGCATGGCAAAGCGCTGTTGAATAACATGGATGTTAATGAGCCTCTTCCAGTTTTTCGCTTTGTATCTCGATAGAATATATACCCTGTTGCCGACTTCAGGACTGGTATCATGAAAGTTTTTCCGACCCGTCACTCTTGTAACTTGTCTTTCCACAGCCAGTCGCTTCACATTGGTGTCCGTGTAAGCGGACGAAGAATTTAGAGAGTATCGAATCCCATGACGGGGGTTCCAGACGAAACACGGCAAGGTAGATTTCAACACTCGGCAAGCGTCGCCGATAAACGCGGAAAAGAGTGCCATGGGCAACCTGAGCATCAAACCCGTTTGCACTCCATTATAACCAGCGAATGGTGCTCGTCCGAACAGACGCATTGATGACAATTATCCAGGCACGCAGTGGCCCGCCACGGCAACACAAGCAACGTGTAGAGCGGCCAGCCGCCCGAATGCGGTAATCCAGACGGCATTCACGGCAGACCTGCTGCGCGATGGCACATCAAACCTACATTCTTGGCACATAAAGCCACATGCTATGCTTCCATCTCGGCGGCTCTACGACAAACTCCGAGGCTTGGTAATTGATGGAGCAGGCGTGGGCCGTTTTTTTTTTTTTTTTTCTTTTTTTTTTTTTTTTTTTTTTTTTTTACAAGCGCTTAGCTCGGGCTAAGGAAGCAGGCTTCATTTTTACAGGGATTGGTTTCATGGCGGAGATCGAGCCCGTGTGATATTGGTGCTGCTTTAACCTGGACGGCGACACCTTGATGAATCGGATGGGACCTTTGGCCATGGGTGCCTTTTTATACGGGGCGACATTTGTATGATTGCTTACTTGCTCTTTTGGATACCGTTTATTATGGAATGAAGACTGACGGCGACGTTGTGTAAACGAGTGCTTACCACACACACACGTGCCAACGCTTTCCAACATGTCATTGCCGCACATACATTTTTACCACTTTCATATACAAGCAGTCTGAAGTTCAATGTTTCTCTCAGTGCCAAATGCAGGAATCCAAGAAGGGCCGATGCAGCCACGGCCTTGCGGCTCGAACAGAAATCAGTTTACGTATTATCAAGACTACTTTACAGTTTGTGGCATCAAGCGCCAAGCACGACATGCAGCCCACGCGCATTACATTACAAAAAAAGGGGGCCTGCTTCACGACGCCCCGTTACCGCTCGAGCCGAACCGCCTCACCAGATACAACGCCAGCCCCCAGTTGGGCTGCACATACACGCCGACTCTGCAGACGACGAGAAACGAGAGCGCCCACGCGGCACTGCCCATCCACGAGGATGGCACCCACGACGACATCCAGGACCGGGGAGGGGCTGCCCCCAGCGCGGCCCTCGCAACGTTCTTGTTGTACCGGAGGCGGTTGTGCGGATCAAAGGCCTTCTTGAGCGCGCAGATGCGCGCCCACTTCTCCTCGGAGCCGTACAGATTCCTCAGCCACTCGGGCCCCCGGTCGATGGACAGGTTCACGTAGCCGTTGCGCAGGGAGAAGGGCGTCATGGCGGCCATGACGCCGTCGACCCAGCGCTCAAACTCGGCGTCCCTGTCCGGCGTGTCCCACATGCCCAGCACCTCCCACATCCAGTTGGCCCCGCGGCGCGAGTAGGCCGTCGAGTCCTCGGGGAAGTCGAAGTTGGCGCCGCCGAGGCACGGGAGGGCGATGGCGACGCTGGGGCCGGGGCTCGTCGCCGCCGGGGCCGCCCTGACGCCGGCCACGATGACGCCGGCCACCTCGGCCGTGATTCCGCCCAGGTAGCCGCCGCGGCCGGGCTGTCGCTGTCGGCGGCCCGGCGGCGCGAGCACGTCCAGGATGGAGTTTGTCTCCAGCCAGCTGGCCGGGCGGACCATGTCGGCCAGCGGCGCGGCCAGCGAGCGCACCCCGGCCATGGCGGCCTCGTACCCGTCCGGCGCGCCCGTGTACACGACTATGAGCACCAGGATGGGCACGCCGACCATGTGCCCCGGCAGGCCGGGCAGCGGCGGCGCCGGCAGAGCCACCGGGTAAATGGTCAGCTCGCGCGGGGCGCGGCGCATGACGGCGTCGAGCTGGGCGAGCACGCCGGCGGCATCGTCGATGGCGTAGATGATGAGCCCGCTGACGACGCCGGGCCCGACCTTGTGCGCCTGGTACGTGAAGGAGGTGGCGACGGCGAGGTTGTGCCCGGCGCCGCAGAGGCCCCAGAAAAGCTCGGGGTTCTGGTCCCTCGACGCGACCAGCCGCTCGCCCTTGACCGTCACCACGTCCACCGACAGCAGGCTGTCGACCGTCATGCCGAACCGCCGCGTCAGGTATCCCATTCCGCCGCCGAGCGTGAGCCCCGCGGCCCCCGTGCCCGAGACGGTGCCCGACGGCACGACGTAGCCGTGCTCCTGGGTGGCGGCGTCCATCTCGCCCAGGAGGACGCCGGCGTCGATGGTGGTGACGCCCGTCTCGGGGTCGACGGCGATGTTCTTCATGGGCGTCGTGTCAATGACAAAGGCGTCCTGCGGCATCGCGTGCCCGTCAATGGCGTGCCCGCCGCTACGGATGGCAATCGGCTCCCCGTGGGCGTCACAGTACTTCACGGCGGCTACGATGTCGTCGGCGTCGAGGCACTGCGCTATCAGGGCCGGCTCGTTGCCGTACCGCGCGTTGGGGATCTGCCGCGCCTCCGTGTACCCCGGGTCCCCCGGGCGGAGGGTCCTGCCCTTGAATCCCTCCGGCGGGAAATCTGGAAACCTCTTGCGACCCATCCTCCAAGCTCGATCCTGAGCCTACAGCGAGACGCTTCAGGGGGGTTTTTTGGGGGGGGAACCTTCTTCCTTACGCGGCAGGGTTGAGGTTCAGGAAGGATCCGGACGAGCAGTATATACGCCTGGGACAAATATCTGGGCAGTAGATGACACAAAACACCCCACGAGGCTTCACCCAGCTTCGCGATCTGAGCTACAGCTTCTTACACGAGCCTGGGGGGGTATGGGGTTCTTTTAATCCAGCGAGCAACAGCACAATCCTCCTTTGGAGACAAGCCGGGCCAACGGACACGATGGCATCGCATGCCAAGACGGCCAACAAGAACTAGTGGAGAAAATAGCGCAACGCTGTATATTGATTTCGACTTTATTCTTCCTCAAACCAAGCCATCGTTTGCCTAGATCAAGCCTCAATGGCTGCGCGGTGGTGTGGTGGTGGAAGCACGAACCACCCACGGGGACGTGCCTCCAATAGCTTGGTCCAAATCGTAGAGAACAATAGCAAAAACGGCCGACAATTCTACATGGTGTGCAAACACTGGGGTGCAGGACAATAAACCGCCATACCTATTCATCGCGCGGTGCTTTGACGTATTGCAGTCCAAAAAGGGAAAATTGCCACGACAGGCAGAACACGCTGGTCTGACAAATCGCGGGCAAGCTCCGACGTTTTGTCCCAAAACATGTTGCCAGCCCGTTTTAAACGCAGCGCAGGACGGGGACAGCCAAGGCAGCGATGAAACTAGGCCGTGTTCGACCGTGTGTGACACTGCATTGTGCCTGCAGAGCAAAGAACCCGGCACTGCGGAGGGGTGCTTTTGTCGATAGCCGGACATGCCGCGGGCAGAACAGACTCTCACCTGGGAACAAACAGAAAGAGGGAGGGAATGATGGCTTTCGATCGTCGGAACGGTATTCCGTATTCGGGAGTTGGCCGCTTGGATGGCCAAGTACACCGTTGCGCTAGCTGGTCTTTTCGAAGCTGAGAGAAAAATTTTGCAAATTTATTATCTGATCATCTTATCAATCTCGTCTCCACTTTTCGCCACGTTGGGCAACTCAACCGACGGCAGGGCACTCGACCTCTGCGGCTGAGGTTTCAACGGTAACACGGCATTTACAACAAGTAGGGGTCTGATTGGAGGGGTAGAAGAGCGCGGATTTAAGAATTGATGCACAAGCAGCGTTCCACATGGGCTGGCGGCTCTTGGCATTTGCTCTGCTCATGTTGGAATGAAAAACGCAAAGTCGTGACGTTTCGGTCAACATGCCGTGAGGACATTGTACCGAAGACCCGGTCCTCGGCTTTCCCCCTTTTGGTTGAAGATTTTCCTGCCCCCAAGGGATGGCCAGTCAGGCCCAGATGGCTTGATATCGGTCCCCAGGCGGATGTAAATCACGGCTGGACTTGCGCAAGGATGGAATAGTGTGGGGGGGGGGGGGGGGGAAGGGCGGGCGGGGGTTTTCG